CAGGGAGTCGTGATTGGAACGGGGGAGAGGTCTCAGTTTGGAGAAGTGTTTAAGATGATGCAGGCTGAAGAGGTGAGCGAGAGGGGGACTCTGGCTGTTTGTGGGCTGGGGTTTGAGACTGTTCCAGCTGAATGATGCCACTGCCACCTGCCCCTAGGGATGAGGAGGATGTGGTCCATGGAGTATCCTTTTGAAACATTTTTGTTTTAAAACAGTTGTCAGCATTTTCAGAAAGATATAACTCTCAGACAGTAACATGCACAGATCTGAAGCGTAGAAGTCAGTGCATGTTGACACATGTGTGCAACCGTCACTCAGCTCGGCCATGGGGTGGCAAGGCAAAGGCATTTGGGGAAAAGCCCGGCAGTCCCCGGGCACACGCCGCTGGGAGCTCGTCTAACCAGCCCATTGTTCTCACCCTTTCAGACGCCTAAGACCCCTTTACAGAAAAGCATGGGCAAGCTGGGGGAGCAGCTGACGCTTTTCTCCTTTGGCATAATCGGTGAGTGAAGGGTTCTAGGGTGGAAGGGAAGCTATTTCTCAGACAGCTTGCTACTCACCTGCACAGGGACTGAGACCAGAGGTTCTGTTTTTTTTTTTTTTAAATAAAAATAAAAACGCTAGGTGCCTGTGCTCGCTCCACCTGACTAACAGCCGGGACAAGCAGCCCCTCCATTTTCATGCCTTAACACAGCACAAGGTTGCTTCTTGCTCCCACTGCTGTCCACAGTCCCGTCCCTGGCTTTCCTGGATTGCGGGGCTACACGTGCTGGCTCAGACCCAGGCAGAAGGAATGGTATATTCAAAAGCACGGATGACGTCTTCCCAACCTTGACAATGTTTAAGAGGTGGTGAATTTAGGATGATTATGAGGGCGTGCTCTGGGGTCAGATGCCCTGGCCAAAAAGCTGGTTCTGCCTCTTGTAGCCTGATGAGCCCGGGCAAGTTACATGTCCTCCGTGAGCCATGCTGTTCTGCATAAGAGGAGGCATAATCCTAGCGCCGTTTCCGCAGGGTCGTTTGTGAGCCGTCCACGAGTTAACACAGGCAGAGCGCCTGGTGCTCAGCCGGCCTGGGGGAGGCGCTGTCGCTAAGGTGTCTGTGGGTTCCTGAGCACCTGCTCTGAGGTGGATGGCTGCTTTTACTACATTATCCCCTCTAATCCTCAGTAAAACCCTTTAAGGTAAATGTTATCTCATTTTATGGATGAGGAAACCCAGGTTCAGAGAGGTGAAGCGGTTTGCTCATTTCACGCGGTTGATTCATGGAGGAGGAGGAGGAGGGAGACAATGAACCCAACTCTCTCTGCCCCCCAAAGCTGCTCTGTTCTCCCTGTCGGGGGCAGTTGAGAAGATCAGAGGAAATAGGTGAAGGAACCACACAGGTGGAGGTGTGTGTGCCAGGTCACCCTTCCACGGTGAAATCCCGAACACAACCCCCCAGGTCTTTTTTTTTTTTTTCCTTTTTTTTTGAGACAGAGCCTCAAGCTGTCCCCCTGGGCAGAGTGCCGTGGCATTACAGCTCACAGCAACCTCCAACTCCTGGGCTCAAGCGAGTCTCCTGCCTCCGCCTCCCAAGTAGCTGGGACCACAGGCGCCCGCCACAACGCCCGGCTATTTTTTGGTTGCAGCCATCATTGTTGTTTGGCGGGTCCGGGCTGGGGATTCGAACCCGCCACCTTAGGTGTACGTGGCTGGCGCCTTAGCCGGTTGAGCCACAGACACCGAGCCAACCCCCCAGGTCTTAATGAACTTGTGAGGCACCCAGAAGCCACACAGAGGAACCCACGGCTCTCGGGTCTACTGTGCTGATGACGGTCCCCAACACTTCAATTTCTAGTCTTCTTCTCAAACCTCAGCTTTGGGTGTACTGCCCAGAGTTTGCTAAACCACTGTGCTTGCTGTCTTGAAGTAGCTCTCCACCCTTTTCTCTGCCCGGTGTTGTCCTGGCCCAGAGATGGAAATGGGTTTTATGTCAATCTGCAAGCCGACCCAGCAAGTGGGGCTCTCTGCTATGAGAAGGTTTCGAAGCCCCGCTCAGGCTCGGTGGCAGAGAACTCTGATGGATTGGCAGTGCCTGCCCAGACATGAGAAGGGGAGCAGCTGTGTGTGTCCATCCTTCACGTGCCTTCCCAGGCTGCAGATCAATTAGACATCTCTGGCAGAGTGGAATCCCCAGAGGCCTCTCTTGCATTCTGGAAACTGGGGCTTCCAGGCCAAATTTGATCTCCCCCTGTTTTTGTATGGCCAGCCAACAGAGGATTTTTTTTTTACATTTTAAAATGATTTTAAAAAATCAAATGAGGAAAAGTATTTCATGATATAAAAGTTACGTGAAATTGAAATTTCAGCGCTGGTTACTGGAACTCAGGCCTGCCCTTGACGCGCTGTCTACGGCGGCCTTCAAGCTGCCACAGCCGTTGGGTTACAACAGAGACCAGGTGACCCACAAAGCCAGGACTGTTTACTGTCTGGCCCGTTACAGAAAACGTTTTCCGACACCTGCCCTAGCTGATGGGGTTGCCAGGAGGAGATTGTGCTGCAGTAATGAGGCTGATCTTTCTACTTCAGTAACCCCAAGGGCAAATACTGAGTAAATCTGCCTCTCGGCAGATTGTCAAAGTAGATAGCATTTAAAGGACTTTCCACAAGATGAATTTGTTTAAAAAAAAAACTTCCAAGGCAGAGGTCCTGCAAGACTGTCGTCTTGTATCAGCCCATATTCCTCAAGTTTTAGAACTTAATTAAATTGGCACGTCCGTGACAAGGACCATGATAGAACTCAGATATTTTTTTTCTTTCTAACAGGTCAAGAAGTACTCTAGCAATGTGGGAGTTTTGAAACCATGTTCCATGGATCCCAAGAGAGTCCCCAGGGGAGAGGCAAGGGCACACCAACAGGCTGGGGAAATGCCTTTCAGGGGAAGGTCGTGTTTGCCACTCCCCGTGGTGTAAATGCTGTCAGCATGGCTGTCAGCTGCCAATGCAAAATTACTGACCATGAATTTGAGAAGAGACTCTTGTGAGTCCCGGACACAAGCTGTAGCATTCCACTATAGGAAGGCCACAGGGTGGGGTGAGTTGCTAGTGGGTGGGGCTTCCAGCTCACTGGCCTCCCCCATTTCTTTCTTTCTTTCTTTTTTTTTTTTAGAGGCAGAGTCTCACTTTGTTGCCCTCGGTAGAGTGCTGTAGCATCACAGCTTAACAGCAACCTCTGGCTCTTGGGCTTAGACGATTCTCTTGCCTCAGCGTCCTGAGTAGCTGGGGTTACAGGCACCCACCACAATGCCCGACTAGGCCCTCCCCCATTTCTAATAGAACTCTGCTCTCTAAACTATTAGGTCTGAGTTCATTTGGGGAGATCTAGCTAAGATTTCAGCGGGGATTTCAATATGCCCCAAACGAAAATAACATATATTGTGCCCCCGCCAACATGTCCCACTATTGCCCAGCCTAAAACACTCCTGGTTCCCCAGTTCCTACAGAACAAAGCTGGAGTTCTCTAGCACCTCCACCGGGGGTATCACCAGACAACTCACCCACCTTCCCAGCCCTTCCCCCTGCTTTTGATAATGACAACGAGGACAGTCACGGCGAGGCATTGGCTGTGGGCCAGAAAAGTGCTGAGCTCTCAAAACAGATTGTTACATCTTAAACCCCGAAAGAACTCCTTGGAGTCCTGGCCATTATCCCCATTTTACAGAGGAGGAAAACGGACGCTGCACCTGTCGGCCCCAGCACTTTTCCTTATTGCCAGACCATCTCGTGAACTTTCTCAGGGCCCAGCACAGCTTCCGTCACTTCTGCCTGGAGGATCCCTCCGTGACAGTTTCCCTGTCCCCATGCCTAGCCCAGTGTTTAGTGAGCATTCGGTAAATTGTAGAAGAAAAAAATGGAAAGGGGAATGTATTTGTGAACACAGTGGGATAAAATCATTTAAAACACAGTGGCCCATCTGCTGATCACAGGAGCAGCTTCATTTACACATCAGACGCCTGGGAGGGTGGGCAGGGAGCCTGGGCTCATGCAGCATGTGGACACTTTGGGGATGATGTGGACATGCTTGCCAACAGCCCACAATAAACTGGTGGTTTGTTTCCTCAATTGGGCTTGAATCTTTCCTGGAAAAAGTCAGGTTTTTTTCAAAGTATAAAAGTATATTCCTTAAAAAGAAAAAGAGAGCAATTGAAAGTGTTTGAGGCCAGGCATCATTTCCCTGTGTGTGTATAAGGAAATGAGTTGGAAATGCCCCCGGACTCAGAGACGTGCTCGTGCTTTGTGCGCAGACGCCTGTTTTCTGCCTCTCCCCAGGTGTGATCATGTTCATCGGCTGGTTGCAGGGGAAGCAGCTGCTCAGTATGTTCACCATTGGAGTCAGGTGAGGGCGCGGGGCCCCGCCCTGCATTGAGAGCAGGTGGGGGGCTGCGGGATAGGCGTGTCCTCATCACCCAGACCTTGGTCTCCCGAGAGCATGTTGTTGGACAGATCAGGATGCCTGGGGATCACTTGCAAAGTGAATGAAACTCTGATTCGGAGTCCCTGAGGGTCCAGAGTATGGACCCAAGAGCCAGCCTGCCTCGGTTTAAATTCTGCTCCTGCTGTACTCGCTGCATGACCTTGGGCAAGTTTCTTAGTTCTCTGTACCCTGGTTTCCCCCTCTTTAAACTGCGAATGCTGGTGTACCCTCTCCTGGAGTCACCAGGAGGGTTAAACAAGGTGGCCGTGCAAGGGGCCACACAGTGCACAGCGGGTAGTGGGTGCTGGCTCTTGCTACTAGTCTGAACTTGTTCCAAGCCCCCGTTTTCCAGAGGAGGTTGTAAGTGAGGACAGGAGGCATGTAGCCAAAGACCACACCAGTGACAGCAGAGCTGGAAGTCAGGGCACTTGACTTTATGCTAAGGGGACCTGCCCATCCTCCACACCGTGGTTCTGATCAGTGATCCCAAGCCCTTGGGTCCTGGTGGTGGCTGTTGCAGAGAGGAGGACGGGCAGCCAGGCTTCGTCTGGTGGTGGGACTTTGCTGGCGGCTCTTCTGCGACTGCTTGCTGAGGCCAGGGAAGCAGAGTGCTGCAGCAGAGGGGAGGCTGGGGGCCCTTCCAGCACACAGAGGAGACAACACATTTCTAGGCTGATGTCAAGCCCCGTGGTTCTCAGGTGTAACCCATGTGCTGCTGGTGTCTGCAGGGTGGTTTCAGGTGGTACATGGAAATTATTTTACTGTCTGTTAGAAAAAAGAGACGTCTATGATGTAAACGAACTTAGATGTCCATCAATTAATGAATGCACAGGCCACATACATACAACAGAATGTGACTCAGCCACGGAAAGGAAGTACTGATTTGTGATACAGGGTGGTTCAATGCTGAAACCAGTGGCAAAAGACCCCTATGATAAGATCTTAATTTACATGAAATGTGCAAAAACAGGTCACTCCATGGAGACGTTCATAGATGGGTGTCTGCCAGGGGCTGGGGCTGGGAGTGGCGAGTGGCTGACCACAGTTACAGGGTTTCTTCTAGGGGTGAGGAAAATGTCCTAGAAGGGACTGTAGCGAGGGTCGTCCCTGAATACACTAAAGACAATGGAATGATATCGTTTAAAGGGGGTGGATTTTATGGTATGTGAATTATCTATCAATAAAGGCAAAAGAAAGAAAGTGTAGCGGTAACTATAAATGTTGTTATTAAAAAAATCTTTAGAACCTTTCTCATTTACATGCAAAAAGCAACCTGTTGTAGCTCCCACTTGTGCTGTGACGCTCTCTTTACGGTCAATGTCAGCCAATGCACCTCACAATGAACTCACAGTGAGCTCATTTTCAGGGCTGGGCTTGTGCAGCTGTGGCTCATGGCGTGACACACAGTACCCGGTGTGTGTGTCCAGGACACCAGGCGAAGCGTGCCTGTGTATAAATAAGTGCCTGCAGTCACCTGGTAACTGGCGATGGAATTGCCTCAAATGCAGGCCTTTTAAAAATTCCAAAGGCCTGATTTTTTTTCAATCACTCTGCACAGTCAGCATTCACTGAGAGACAGGGACAAAATCAACAAGTGGGCAGGTGAATGCCGTGTTCCAGAGCATCACTTCTGACATCAAGTGATGTCAGGAGCCGGCCCAGGGTAACTGATTAATGGGCAGTGCTTCTCCCCATACTTTGAGCAAGTGGGAATTGGAGACGTGAGATCCCAGTACATCCCCACACAGCCTCCCTTTTACAGAGTAGGAAACTGAGGTTTAGGCTGACACATGGCATTTCTAACATGCCCCAGGGACACAGAGCCTGGGATTCCATACTAAGCCTGATCTAGCCTCGAGCAAGCACAGAACGAGGGGAGAAGACTGAGACCCCAGAAACTCAGGTGACAGCTGGTAGGGCAATTGTCATATGGCCAGGAGGGAGAAGGATGAGCACCCAGGGCTCTCAGCCACCAGAATGCTTAAAAACCTCCCTAACATAATAATGTGCTCTGTTTCTATCTTATAAACCATGAAAAGTTTGTGAGCCAAAAAGGACAATTAAATATTTCCAGGATGAAGAAGAAAGCTTTTTCGGGCGGTGCCTGTGGCTCAAAGGAGTAGGGCACCAGCTTCATATGCTGGAGGTGGCGGGTTCAAACCCAGCCCCAGCCAAAAACTGAAAAAAAAAAAGGGGGGGGGAAGCTTTTCCATCGTCCCCGGTGCTGCTGGTCATTTCCAATTCCTTTTCCTAACATTTATTTTCACCTATGTGCCCACTTGATCCCTGGTGAACTTGCACTTGAGACAATTTGCCCCTTCCCCTTGTGACTTTGGAAGAGTGAGCTTTTCTAGTTTTTAGTGGATGATTAAAGTCAATCGAAACCGCTCAATCAGAAGGTAGAAACAGCAGCGAGATTTTCCAAAATAAATAAAAGGAGAGAATCGCTTCTTTTAAACCTTTATCCTCATTCCTTTTGCCTTCAGTAACCTTCAGGATGATCTGAGGCACTTGCTTTTTCCCGGTTCATTCTAATCTTTATTAGTTTGTGGATTAATTTTTTATTATTATGAACATCTCTGGGTCCATGCAAACATGCCCTCGCCCTGCCATATAGAGGGGAGAGTCCCCTGCCGTTACCCTCCACAAATGTTTGCTTAGCTGGTCTTGTCGGCCAAAGCCGGAAAACCAAGGAAGGTGTGTGTGTGTGTCACCATAGAGACCCGGGCACAGCCCCTTGACCAAATTCCGTAATCTTAGTTTATATAACTTGTCCCGACACAGGCCATTGTCTCCAGATGAAAGGTCACCATGCAGGTACCATATTTCCTTGGTTCTAAGGTCCACGATCTTCACATCTGAACTCCTCTGAAGTCAGGCTGCTTCTAATAAGTGATGTCAGGAGCCGGCTCGGTGTTACTGATTAATGGGCCGTGTTTCTCCCCTTCCTTCGTGTTGTACGAAGTCACAGTGGCCTTCACAACCAACTGTGTTTTAGTTCCGTAAAACACGGTAGCCCTATGTGATTCTGGCTGGCTGGGATCCTCACCATAATTTTTTTTTTAATTTTTTATTGTTTCAGGCTAACTGAGGGTACAAAGAATTAGGTTACAATATTTACATTTGTTAGGTAAACTCCCTCTTATAATTGCGTCCTGCTCCCAAGAGGTGTGCCATACACTCTAACATGGTGCCCGTTAATTGAGAGCACACCTGTCCCTCTCCCTCTTCCCCTCTCCCTCTGCCCCCCCATCTTGAATTGAATTTTTCCTTATGTGGGTGTATATAAGATCGTCTACTGGCTCCATATTAGAGTTGAGTACATTAGATTCTTGCTTCTCCATTCTTGTGATGCTTTACTAAGAATGTGTTCCACCTCCATCCAGGTTAATACAAAAGATGTAAAGTCTCCATCTTTTTTAAATAGCTGAATAGTGTTCGATGGTATACCTATACCACAGCTTGTGAATCCATCTCACTAGGTTTTTTTTGCAAGTTTTTTTTGGCCAGGGTTGGGTTTGAACCCACCACCTCTGGTATATGGGGCCAGTGCCCTACTTCTTTGAGCCACAGGCGCCGCCCCATCTCACTAGGTTTTTGTAACTAGTAGTCCACCCTTGTGGAGTGCTCACTACATGCAAGGCCAGCAAAGGTCTGAACACTTCACTCCCTTAATTCACCTTTGCTCTTTCAGCAAAAATTTACTGAACACCTATAGGATGCTGGGGTGAGTGTGAGGGTCAAAACAAGCTACTTGGGGGCCTGAGGTAGCCAGAAAATGTGTCCTGTTTGAATTGTTATCTTTTCTTAAAAATTGGAATTTGTCGCTAGTATTTAAAAATCAGGACTTAGCATGAAAAAAATACTGTGTTTCCCATTTCTCGTGGGAAAGGTAACACTGGCCACGTTGGGGGTTGCTGTTTCCGGGGTGGCTCGCTCAGACTGACTCGGCCTCGCTCAGACTGACCTGCTTTGCTTGTTTCTGAGCCTGGGGCCTGGGCCGGCTGTGTCCAGCAGGACTTCTGCAGAGCAGGCTCCATGTGACACTGGCTCCTTCTACTGAAATTTTTCTGGTTCTTCTCGGATATCAGAAATTCCCTGTCACTTCTAGTCCCACCATAGTCTTTTTCTAGAAGCTACAGTGAAAAGTTCCACGTGATGACAAAACTTAAAGCTTCACATAAGGTATAGCATCCCTGCACCGAAGGCGTGGCCTCGGATGGAAGGCGTGGCCTCGGGTGGAAGGCTGCGGTGGCGTAGCAGGGAGAGTTTGGTCACAGTGTCCTCCACCTCCCGGCCATCTCTCTTCTTCTCCCGAAGTCACTAGCTATGGTTTCTTTTCTTTTTTTCCTTAAACAGTTTTATTGAGATTTAATTCATACACCATATAATTCACCCATATAAAATATACATTTTAATGGTTTTTAGCCACAGGCAGAGGCCACCATCACCACAGTTGATTTTGGAATCTCTTCTTATATCCTCTAAAAGAAATCTTGCGTCCCTTAGCCGTCACTCCCCATCCCCCCACCTGCACTCCAGCCCCAAGCAATCCCTAAGCTACTTCTGGTCCCAACAGATTTCCCTGTTCTGGACATTTCATATGAACAAAACCACACACTATGTGGCCTTTTGCGCCTGGCTTCTTACGCCCTGCATGTCTGAAGCCCGTCTGGGAACTCCATTCTTTTTATGGCTGAAGAGGGCGCCACTGAGTGGAGAGACCACATTCTGTCCACCCGCTCACCCACTTGCCCACTGGTGGGCATTGGGTTGCCAGGGTGTCTTTGTACATTTGCTTTTAAAATCTTTTAAGGAAGTTTTCAAGCACATGTAAAAGTAGAGATAATGGTGGAATGAGCCCCTGTGCCGATCCTGCTGGCTTCAGTGGTGGCCGCCCCACAACCACCCTCGCTGGATGACGCCCCACCCACACTGCTGCAAAGTGGATGCAGGGCATCACACTGTGTCACCTCTCAGGAGTATAGGATGTGGGCCTGTCAGCCCGAGGTGGTGGGGCCTCAGCCAAAACTGAGGCAGAAAGTGTCCCCTCTTAACGTCCTGCCACCTGCAGACATACCCACCGGAAGGGGACTCTGTGCCTCAGTCCCAAGCACGTCACCAAGGAAGAGTCTCCCTGGCTCAGCCTCGGTCTTATAGGAGCCTCTAATCCAATCCACCCCGGCCGAGGGAGGGTGGGTCCTGGGGTACACAGTGAGTTGGGGGGGGTTGTAAAAAAGAGAGCCGACATCCTCAACCTGATCAGCTCCACAGGCAGAGGCACAGCTCTGCCATTTCACTTCCCTGACCTGAGTCCCTTGTCTGGCTTCCTCGTAGGAACATCTAAGCCCTAGACTAAGGAAAAGGGAAATACAGAGGACCCAGGGAAGACCCTCTGAGCCAAAATATTTACTCTCACTGTCTGAGTCTGGAAATTCCTTTCGAGGAACCTAAGACCTTTCTCCCTAATAAATGAAAATAAGTGCAAAAACTCATTAAGAGGCAAAACGTCTGATGGACTAATTCACACTAAAGTGTGGATGGCTGATAGGAGACACCCCTTCCCAAGTGCTGGGTTTGCAGGGGAGCACTCAGGGCAATGGGGGCTGAAGGAGGAGGCAGGTGCACCAGGGAATTGAGAACAGAGAATAGAACTGGGCACTGGGGACACCAAAGACAAACTTCACTGGCCAAAAGAGTTGCCAACCCCAGTGGAGACTCACATTGTCCCTCAGGGCATGTTAACGGGGCCTGTTTGACCTTTCAACCCAGTCTGGCTGTAGCGGCCATTCCAGAGGGTCTGCCCATCGTTGTCACCGTCACCTTGGTCCTGGGAGTGCTGCGGATGGCCAAGAAAAGGGTCATTGTGAAGAAGCTGCCGATCGTGGAGACTTTAGGTGAGGGGCCTGAGCCGGTGGGATTATTACAGGTGGGACAGCATGGAGCCTTGGGTGTCATGGGCCAACCCAGCTTGGGTGTTCCATGAAGCCTCTTTTGTGCAAACTGGTGTTTTGTTGAACCAGGTTGCTGCAATGTCCTCTGTTCTGACAAGACAGGGACTCTGACTGCCAATGAAATGACGGTGACCCAGCTTGTGACGTCCGATGGGCTTCATGCTGAGGTGAGTCTTGATGGAATGCGCAAGCCTGGAGACAGAGCTGTGCCTGCCAGACCCTCACCTGTCTAGAGAAAGCAAGCACGGGTGTTGTCTAGGAGACAGTAAGGAAGAAACAAACGGAGCTCATTGTACAATCTCCTTGCTACTAATAGCAGCAAAAAAAAAGACTTTTTTTTTAATCATCCCATACTTTGTTTCAAAAGGCTAATTTAAGGGAGCCCCCTTTAATTTTTTATCACTGATAAATAACATGCACATCCCAAAATCGGCAAGGTGGGAGACAGCACCCTTACCCTCCTGTGACCAACTAGGGATTCCTGGTTAGTTCATTTGTGTTTTTCAGCCTCTGTTGAATCACGTGCACAGTGGGAAGCTCCCTGAACACGTGACGTTGTACCCTGATACTTTTTCACAAAACTTTACGGAGCAAGGGGGTCAGCAAATGATTGCCATGAGCCAGTGCTTAGTTTTGAAAGTTTGGTGTGACTGGCGCACTGCCACACCCCCTTGTTCATGTTGTCAGGGGTGGCTTTTGTGCCCCAGTGACAGAGTTGAGTAGCTGCCACAGAGGTTGCACAGGCTGCAAAGGCTGAAGTATTTGCTTATCTGTCTCTATAAGAAAACGTTGCCCACCTGTTCTAGAATGCAAGCACTCTCCTGTGCTGGGGCTGGGTTTTCTTACCCATGACGTGCATGGCTGCAGAGATGCCGTGATATGAACTTGCTGCAATTCAGTTTATCCTTGGGTGAGCTGTGCTGACCAGGAAACAGTCCTACAGGGAGCATCTTCAGACCTAAAGCCTTGTCTGTGTTTAGCATTCTGTCTGTGGGGTGGATGTCCAGGAAAGAGACTGTGGGTCAACCAGGGAGCATACCTTTGCCTCCTGGTGGCATCCTTTCTTCTGCTTGGTCCTCCAGGTCAGCGGAGTTGGGTATGACGGCAAAGGGACTGTGTGTCTTTTACCATCAAAGGAAGTGATTAAGGAATTTTCCAATGTTTCAGTGGGCAAATTAGTGGAGGTAAGTGTCGAAAGTGTCCTGGAGGTAATAGGCACGTAGACTAGGACTTCTAGAAATTCGTTCTGAAAAGGGAAATAGCAATTGGACCAAGTGCTCCTTGACAGTGACTGGGCCACCCAGGGGTAAGGTGGTCACAGCACTGGAAAATGGTCCTGAAAGAAATGGTGACATTGGAGGTAATAGGGGGAGCTAGAGTCCCTTGTGCTCATCACAGCCTGCTGGCACCTCAGTGACACCGGCACAGACAAGGTACTTGGCAGATACTGTCAGTCCTATCCCCACCAGCTGCCGAAGCTCCCGGGGGCAGGTGCCTTCTTCCTCCATAATGACCAGCAAGCCCCACCCCTCAAGGGCCCTGCCAGGGTCCCACTTCAATATCAGAGACCATCATCTCAGTTTTGCAGATTAAGAAACAAAAATATGTCAAAAAAAAAAAAGAAAGAAAGAAAGAAAGAAAGAAACAGGGGCTCAGATGGGCAACGTGAGTGCCCAGGCTCGGCTCACCAGGCCGGGGTGGGGGGAGTTGGGGGCCACTCACGCTCTGTTTGTTTCATTTTTTCATTTTTTATATATTTAGTTTTTAGCTGAGACGGAAGTCATAGATCATAGGATTCACCCTGTTAGAGTACACGGCTCAATGGTTTTAGCATCTTCACAAAGTTGTGTGTCCATCATCACTGCCGAATTCTAGAACACTTCGTCACCCCAAATCGAAACGCTATCCCCATTAGTGGTCAATCCCTATGACCCCACACCTGTAACCACCAGTCCCCTCAACTTCCCACTGGTTTCCCTACTATTAAAATAATTGCTTTGTGCCAGGGACGGTGGCTCACGCCCGTAATCCCAGCACTGGGGGGGCCCAAGGCAGGTGGATTGCTTGAGCTCAGGAGTTTGAGGTTGCTGTGAGCTACATGATGCCACTGCATTCTACCCAGGGTGACAGAGTGAGACTTGTCTCAAAAAAAAAAAATGGCTTTGTGGCAACCACCATTCAACATGGTCAGAAATACTGTGTTCCATTTGAAGAGCCAGGATGCTGATTTATTTTAAAAAGCAAGTCTTGTCCCCAAAGCCTCAGCTATAAGAATGGGTCGAGCCTGCAGGGTCTGAATCTTTCAGGGGCCTGAGTGTGCCCAGACCCCGAGGGCCCCAGGCTCCCGGTGAGGTTGAACAGTAGACATTCAGACAATCCCCTTTTCAGGCCGGCTGTGTCGCCAACAACGCAGTCATCAGGAAGAACGCTGTGATGGGCCAGCCCACGGAGGGGGCCTTGATCGCCCTGGCAATGAAGGTAAGGGTTCCAGGACATCCATTCTCTCACTCAGGCTGGGTTGGTTAACAGATTTAAGCTTTCGTCTGAGTGCATGAGGATTGGGGGGCTTAGTATTATACTAATGGAGAGCATGACCCCAAATAGCCTCAGACTGATTCAGGTAGGCTCTGAGGTTCTGTGTGGCTTTGGAAAGCTCAATGGATCTCTAACCCCTCTGCTGGAGATTCCAGAAGAATCCTCTGAGCACCCCCATGGCTCAGACCTCTTCAGGTGTTGGGGAGACGGGGGAACAGGACTCATCTATGCACCCCCAACACAGCTCACATCCTCCCAGGGGCACCATGGGGTGGCCTAGTCTTCTCAGGTCGGCCTTTGCGCCCTAAGCTCCGTGGCTGTGCAGAATGCCTGGGCCACTTGGTGCCCAGTGCCAGGCACTGAGGGGACTTGCAGGTGTGCCTGCTTGCTATGCCTTGGGCTTGGGGACACCTTAAAAGAGGACGAGGCAGAACACCTAGGACTGGGGGTGCAGGGAAAGGAGGAGGAAGGGGGAGCAAAGGAGGTGGGAAGGACGTGGGGTGCAGAGAGTAAGAGAAGGAGCAGAGAAGGTGGGTGACCCCGGTGGCACTGTGTCCATGGCCAGCCTGGCCAGATCCTCCTCTCCAGCCAGACTGTGGCTCCCCTGGACAGGGCAGGAGCCCCTCTGCTCTCCACACCACCCACCGCTGTCCCGACTGCTCACTGCCCAGGTGACTGGTCTCGGGCTCAGGTCCAGTCAGTTTTCTCTCATCAAGGTCAAAAGAAAAGCAGCTACTGATCCTGCCCCTGCTGGCCCCTCCCTGCCTCCCAGCCCTACACTCTGTCCATCTGTCCTCACTGGCCCAGAGCCTTTCTTCAAGTTCAGTATCCACCTCTTTGGCCCCCTCTTCCCAGCTGGGCGGCCCTGGGCCCTCTCCTCTGCCCTGTGTCCATGTGTTTCCCTTTCACTCCTCCAGCGCCACCTTTGGGAAGCCAGAGCGGGCTGGCGGGTGGGGGGGGGGAGAAGACTTAGTCACCCTTTTCTGCCTCCCTCCCTGTACAGGCAGCGGGGTGCGGTTTCTCCCCAGTGGAGAGCATTGAGAAATTGTTACATCACGTTATTTTCCTTCCACTCTCCAAACGGAGCGTATTTCCCCTTTTAAAATAGTGCTAAGTCAGCCCCACGTAGCAGCCCCCAAAGTGAAGGGGCCTGGCCTGGCCGTCCAGCAGGAGTGACATCTGGTGTCCAGCACCCACCGTGCTTCTGCTGCCAGCTGCCGCTGCAGCTTAGAAAAGGACAGGGGTCCAGAGCCTCTTTCCTTGATGTGCTAGGATTTTCCTCTGTCGTGGGGCCTGACTTAGGATTTTAGAATCAACCTTTTGGAACAGGAGAAATAATGGCTGACACATATGAGGTGCTTCTGTGCGACAGGTGGGCCCTGAGCATGGTGCGGCCAGCAGTTCCCAAGCTGTCCTCCATCATTGCCCCCATGTCACTGTCCAGGGGTTGCCGAAATAATATACCTTAGACTGGGGGAGTGGGTGGGGTGGTTACCGTGACTGCATCTCAGTCATGGGGGCCAGAAGTGCAGATCAGCATGGCCAGGGCCAGGCTCCCTCCCAGCACCTGGTAGTCAGGGGCAACCTGGGTGTTCCTCAGCTTGCGGGGGCATCACCCCACTCTCTGCCCCCATCCCTCGGTGCTGTCCCTGCATCTGTCATCCCAGGGCGTCCTCCTCTCCTAATGTTGGGTCACACTGGATTAGGACCCACCCTAATGACTTCATCTGAACTTGATGACATCTGCAAAGACCCTGTTTACAAAGAATGTGACATTCACAGGTTCCGGGATTAGGATTTCAGCATATCTTTTGGGAGACGCAAGTCAACCCATAGCACTCCCCCTAAGGAGACATTTGAGAGATTTTCTTTTTAAGCATTCCCCAGTAAGACCACAGATGTTCTGGGACTCATTTGTGTGCTGTGCGCACGTCTACACCCTACACACACACCCCCAATCCATTTCTACCCCTGGGAGGTGATGGGATACAGTGGGTTTAGATCATGGGTTTAAAACTGGGGAAACTGATTTTCTGAGCTGTCAAATAACCGGTCCCAAAGTAAACTCATGTCAGGACTGAGCAGGGCCCCTGCGCTGACTCAGGGGGTTGTTTCTTTGGGGGAAATGGCTGTACCTTCCTCTGGGCAGAAACTCTACCTACAGGATTCTGTTTCCAAGTGGGTTTTAGATAGACACAGTTGCAAATACCATCACTTCTGCCCCTGGGACAAGAAAAAAGACATTTTTTTTTTTTTTCTGAGAGTGACATTTGAAAATAAGTTGTTTTTCTGTGTGAGCTAAATGCCCAGACTTCTCATCTGCTGTGGACGGTTTAAAGAATGAATAATTTAAATGGACTGAGCTTTGCATGGAGATTAGCTTCAGATGACTCACTAAAAATATCTCATTTTATGAATCTAGATGGACTTGAGTGACATTAAAAATTCATATGTAAGAAAGAAAGAGATTCCATTCAGCTCAGAGCAGAAGTGGATGGCAGTAAAATGCAGCCCAAAGAATGAGGTGAGTCAGCCGCCTCCGCCCTCCCCCCCTCTCCAGCCCTCTGCCCCAAATAAGGCAAAGCGCAGACCTCAAGAAGAACCCCAAGTTCCTAGCTACCTCTGTGAGCTTCCAAACGCACTAAAATATGGCTGATAGCAATTAAACCTTTGATTCTCATGGGTCCTCTTTGAAATGAGGTTTTCATTTAAAAATGGCAGTTCTCAAAGCAAGATCCCTGGGTCAACATTTCTTGGGAATGTCTTAGCAATGCAGCCTCCACATTCCACGCCAGACCGCTTGAGTCAGAAATTCCAGGGGTGGGATCCAGTCAGCTGTGTTTGCTGGGGATTCTGCTGCAGGCTCAGGCGTGAGACTCGCTGGCCTGTGATGGGATTACCGAATCCTTACTGCTGAGCACCTGTGTGTCCCCTTCTCCACGATGCTGAGCCCACAGCTGACTTGCAGGTCCTGTCTTTGCATCTGGTGCTGAGTTCTTCACTCACAGCAGCTCATTTCACCACCATGACGGGGAAACAGTCAGGACGGAGTGTCGTGCACACGCCTGTTGTCGGGAACCACAGGAGCACTCAGCAAACTGTGGCTGCCCGGGGCTGGGCTTATACCTGATCTTCCTATCTCCCTTTTCAGATCTGCTGTGGCTTTGCAGATATTCAGTGAAAAGAATTCACAAAAAACAGTTGCTTTCTACCCTTTTCTCCAACCTTCCTCTTCTCTTTTTTTTTTTTTTTCAGTTGGCCAGGGTTGGGTTTGAACGCCCCAAAGGCGCCACCCTCTCTCCCACTCTTTCTAGAATCTGTCACATCTGCCTGTGCAGATGCCTCAGCGCTCGCTCTGCTGTGCAGGCGGCTCACCCAGGCCCTGCCGTGCATGGACGGACATTCTGAGTACTTACAAGGGATTATAAATTTTTAAACATTTTTTATACCTTTTCAAATCTCTTTTTCCCAACAGCAATGGTGACATAGTCTCATTGAAAAAAGCATAGAAATACGAAATGAAAAATTTAAATCCTTTATAACTCTCTTTTTATACATTTTCAAATCTCTTTTCCCCAACAGCAATGGTGATGTATTCTCATTGAAAAAAGTATAGAAGTATGAAATGAAATATTAAAATCCTTTATAACTCTGCCCCTCTTCCTGCCTGCCTACCCCTATTCCAGGTAACTAACTCCCCTTTGCAGCCTAGAATAGAGTGTTCTGGCTTCTAAATGTGTGCGTAGCAACGTCTGGGATAGTAGATTTCAAAACAAGGCCATGCTGTATATAGTGTTTGAACATTTTAGTTATACAGTTTTCCTTGGTGTCACCTGTTAGGCACCTTTCGGTACCAATTCCTGTGAGTTCACTCACTGTATTTACCAGGCACCTGCAGTGAGCCAGGCAGGCACTGTGGTAATGCTAGAATGTGGTGTCACCAAACTGACCCAGGGTCCACATGGAGCTTATAGTCTACATATTTGTCAAGACAGGTCTTGATAAAAACACAGGGAAAATGGTCACCTATTCACTTGGGTTCCCTCTCTTTTTTTTTTTTTTTTTTTTTGAGATAGTGTCTCACTCTGTTGCCCAGGCTAGAGTGCCTCAAGGGTTTGAGGTTGCCGTGAACTAGACTGAGCTATAGTGTCAGCCTAGCTCACGGCAACCTCAAACTCTTAGGCTCAAGCAATCCTCCTGCCTCAGCCTCCCAAGTAGCTGGGACTACAGGCACCTGCCATAACACTTGGCTAATTTTTCTATTTTTAGTAAAGACAGGATCTTGCTATGTTGCCCAAGCTGGTCTTGAACTCTTGACTGCAAGTGATCCTCTTGCCTCAGCCTCCCAAGTAGCTAGGACTATAGGCACCTGCCATAACACCTGGCTAGTTTTTCTATTTTTAATAGAGATGGGGGTCTTGCTCTTGCTCAGGCTAGTCTCGAACTCCTGAGGTCAAGGGATCCTCCTGCCTCTGCCTTCCAGAGTGCTGGGATTATAGGACCCAGCCACTGTGCCCAGCTACTTGGGTTTACTCTTATAAGCCAAGTGTAGGAGGGAACAAAAGAGATGTGGCACCTGCCCTGGAGAGAAAACAGGAAGTGAAACACACAGCGAAGGTGTAACACCGGCTGGGCCGCCCTGAGCCACATGAACACGGGAGCTTCATGTGGAATGGGGTTGGGGTCAGAGACCGACCTCACTCAGAGACTACGCCCCATGTGCAGATCCGTGGTTCCCCGACCTGCTCCATCTCAGTGCCCAGTAGCTGTTCGCTGTCAGTAACTCCCCTGCAAACATCCCTGGGCACGTCTGTGTACCCTTGTGCAGAATGCGGTGGCGGTCACCAGGAATCGAGATAACCGGTGACAGCAGATTTTTTTCCTTTTTTCTTTTCCAAGGATCGGGAAGACATTTACTTCATGAAGGGGGCCTTTGAAGAGGTGATTTGCCACTGCACCATGTACAATAACGGGGGCATCCCCCTGCCACTGACGCCCCAGCTGAGGTCGTTCTGCCAGCAGGAAAAGAGGAGGATGGGATCCCTCGGTCTACGGGGTCAGTGCCTCTGGCCCCATTCTGGAGCTCTAAGTTTGCACACAACCTTGACTTTTGGGGTACATTAATGCAGGGTCCTTAGTGAATAAGGTCACCACCAGCAGCATGCTGATAGCAGCAAAGTGAGCTTAGAATTTTATGTCAGAGTAAAGACAAAGAGCCCCCCAAATCCAGCCACTAAATGACACCCATGAGTCTGCGTGTGGCTCCTGTGTCTGAGACAGGTGGCCCCTCGCTTGCTGAGTCTTCTAAGACAGGCGAATGGGGATGCACCCACACACCAACTTCCCTGCTACATCTCTCTTGCTTGTTGCCTCTGGTTAGGAAAACCCAAAGTCTTTTTCATCAGGGAACATTTTTCATTTGTTGGCCATTTCCAATTTTCTGCACCAGAGCCAACGCCTTCCACGATGGGCTGAACATTAAACTTATGTTCCCTGTGGTGTCGCTCATCACCCTGTTCAGCTTCAGAGGAAGCATTTACAACACTCCAGACAGCCCGCATTCTCCCGGGGGAAGATGAGAGGCTTGACCTGTTCCTTCCAGTTGCCATGGTTTCCCCCGCAGGGAGCAGACTCATGAGTCACTGGCAGGTTTGCTGACACCAGGTGCATCAAGGATCACTGGGGCAGAGTGTGGCCAACCTTGAGTGTCACCTCTTCCTGAGTGAGGCGTGTGTTCCCCCAAAGCAGGGGCACTTTACCCATCTCAGTGCCCCCAGAAGGGTCTGTGCAGCACTCAGGTCTATAATAGCCTCACAGGGACACCTGTGCCTCAGTTTCCCCATCTGCACAAAGGAGGCATAAGTAGCAGTTACTTGGCAGATTTCTGGGAGGAGTGGAAGACTGCACAGGAGAGACTGGCATGGACCTGGCTGTTGTAGCTATAACGGCTGACATGCAAGTTATTAAGTAGCTACACATTCAGGTCACATTGCCACCTGCTGACAACATCACTAAAGAGTGACCACCTTAGAAAATAAACCTCCCAGGCAGCCCTGGCCTCTAAATCTACCCCTTGCTCTGCATGACCCTGGTGTTTGGGTCCTGTCCCCCCTCCCCAGACCGTGCCCTGAGTCCCCACCAGGCTGCAGTGAGGCCCTGAGAGGTTGAGGAACTGGCAAGGCCACACAGCTAGTCTGGAGAGGAGCCAGCACTTGAACCCAGGTCTCTCAGGCTGTAGCGTCTTAATAACACACAGGGCTTCAAAGGAGGATGTAGCAAGAATTGGTCACTCATGGAGGTGGGTTGAGACTTTCCACTGCCACCACCAACACATGAGTCTTTTCATCTTTGTAAATGGGCTTAACTCCAGCCTGTGGCTGGGAAAGTGCATCCTGGTGACTGGAGTTACAAAGGGCCCCTGAGTTCCTCCAAACCCACAGCAGGCCAGGGAATCAGAGGGGCTACAACTCATCACCAGTGGGTATGAACTGAGCACCTGCCATGTGATAGGCATAGAGTAGGGCCAGGGGACTTAGCAGATCCCCCCACCCAGCCTGCTGAAACCCCTAGACTCGGCTTGGGCTTTGAGGTACCTCCCCCCAGGGAAAAGATGGCATGTCCCATGGAGTGGTAAGGAGAGATAGGGTGATGGGGTGGAGGCAGGAGCAAGGTCCTCTGGGATAGAGCTTTTCCATGTGCTTCCCAGGGGCAGGGCATGCTTGTGATGGGGCTTCTGGGATTTGTAGACCCCAGGGTCAGTGTTGGGAGGGGAGCACTGGCAAAGGGAGGAAGAGCACCATCATAATTAGCACATGGACCTGCATTATTAGCACATGGCACCAGCATTATTAGCACATGGCACTCACATCATTAGCACATGGCACCAGTGTTATTAGCACATGGCACCGACATTATTAGCACATGGCACCAAAATGATTAGCATGGCCTCATGGCTGTGCAAGAGGGAAGTGCTAGGGGCTTCTAAGTCACAACCCCCTTCAGGGTCAATAAGGTGAGAGAAGTCCAGTTCTTACTCCACCCCAATCTCAGACCACTGGGCCTTGCTTCTGTACCACTGAAACAGAGTCAGGGACAGGCCCACAGAGAGAGTCCACTCAACTCAGTAGATTTTTCTAAACCTCTGGTAGCTGATGCCCCAAGTCTGCTGGAGACAAAAGGAGCACAGAGTAGACAAAGGGCAGGAGCTGTCCCCTTGTCCGCCACTTCACAGCTTCTCTGTGGCTGTTATTGTTGGGGCGGGGGCCAGATTCTGTAACTTGAACAATAGTCTCATTTTCGTCTGTGCAGGCTGGTCCTGGTGTTCCTGTCTATTCAGGGGATACCTGTACAGGCCTGAGAGCCAGCGAGAGCTCTCAGCCTCCCCTGTGCAGTCTGGGAATTTGCTACCCCACCCCTTGCAGACAGAGGGGGATCTGGGCCAGGGTGGGGCCTGTATGGGGTCTAAGAATGGTCCCTGGGCCCCCATGACCCTTGCTGGGGCTTTGGTCTCTCCTCAGTGCTGGCCCTGGCCTCTGGGCCCGAGCTGGGGAGGCTGACGTTTCTGGGTCTCGTCGGCATCATCGACCCTCCACGGGCCGGCGTGAGGGAAGCAGTGCAAGTTCTCTCCGAGTCAGGAGTGTCTGTGAAAATGATAACAGGAGATGCTCTGGAAACAGCCTTGGCAATAGGTAATGGACTGGGTGGATTAAGAAAGAGAGCATTCCACGTCCTTTACAGCAGGGCCACTGCCACCGGTCATCCTGGGAGACCCTGGTCAGGAGTGCTCACACTGGCTCTGCATGCTCGGAAAAGATTCTGAGATTTGTGGAGCTGTGTTCCAACTTCTGAGGTGTCCCCGTTTCTGAAATGTTGGCAGGTTCTCCTGAAGGGGAAGAGTCCTCTCGTATACTGAGGACCTGTGAGTCTCAGTTCACCCACAATCTTGCCTCATCTTCACAGGCAGTTTTGTGTCCCAGATACTGGTTTCTGCCACTATCTATGTATTTTTGGCAAATCACTGAGCACTCTGAACCTCAGACTCTTCATCAGCAGAAGACTAGCAGCCCTCTTCTGATTCCTCTAATTATTACTGTTTTGAGGGTTGCCACACCTTGGGTTTTTTTTCGTAGTTAGGGGTAGACCGGCACTATGAAAAGGTAAAATCTTTGGCATCAGATAGAACTTTGCCAGGTTCCATTACTGCTACTTACCAGCTATACATCCTTGGGAAAGGCACTATTTCCCCATCTTGAAAGTGGGGGTAGCAAGGCTCTTATCATATATTAACATGGATAGAATTGAGATCATGTTTAACACAGCAGGTGCTCAGTCAATGGTATCCACCAGGGTTTCATTCTTATTCTGTATGGCCAAGATAGGGACCCGTTGGGGTCGGTGTACCACAGTCTCAGGGCCTCAGAGCTGATTCTCTCTAAAGGCAGAAACATCGGCCTGGGCAACGGGAAACTGCAAGCCATGTCTGGAGAGGAGGTGGACAGCATGGAGAAGGACCAGCTGGCGGAACACGCCTCAAAGGTAAAGTTCCCCAGAGGCTCAGCAGGGGGAAGGGGTGGGTCTCCAGCTCTGAATTCTGTGACTCTTGGCTCTGTCACTTCTGTTTCCAGGTTTCTGTGTTCTTCAGGACCAGCCCGAAGCACAAGCTCAAAATTATAAAGGTACGTTGAGTGAAGGAGGCACCAGCTGCACCATGTAACAAGGCCCCTGACGCATTGGTACGAGGCCCGACTGTGGCTTTCTTCTCTGTGCCCCAAGGCTTCTGCCCCAGGGCTTAACTTTTCACAGCCAGCAGGGAGGAGGCTGAGCAGGGGTGGGTGGGTAGGTCCCTGAAGGACGGGGCTCAGAAATTGCCTGCTCATGCCCCCACGCCACCCCCCCAGCATGAGGTCACATGGCCAAGTCTAGCTGCAAGAGATGCTGGGAAATGTCATCTCCCCCTGGCAGCCTATTAGGAGGAGGAGGAAAGAACTGGGGGATCATTTGCCACACACACTGGAAAGAAAGAGCTGGAATTGAATAAAGCAAAGGGAAAAAATAAACAAAAGCGACCCTTTATTAGCATCCTAGCTGGGCACTCTTTGGTGTCATTCCTGTGATTTAACTCTGTGCCTCAGTTTTCTCATCTGTAAAATGGGAACACTATTAATGACATCAGCTGGTTTGCAAGGCTGGCGAGAGGATCAAGCAAAGCCTGTGATTCTCTTGGAGCATCTCAAGGGGCCCGTTAAAGAACTGATTATGCATCCAAAACTTGAAAGAGACACAAGGTGTGCTTAGCTTTCCTCACATGTACTTGGAAAATTTGCCTGTGGACTCTTCTAATAGTTATGCTTTTTCTTTTATGTTATGTTCTTTAATTCTACAGAGCAAATCCCTAGGCAAGTTGTTACTCAAAGAAAATATTAATCTGTACTGGGCCCCTCATGGTTTCAGGGCATGCATTGTTGATTGTTATTTTTTAATAGTAATGGATAAGTTTTATGAGGCTTCATCAACAGTGCTGGGCACCGCTGTGTCGATCATCTTCGTTTGGGCCTCACAACAGCCCTATGAAGTTGCTGATCCCACTTTGCAGAGGGGGAAACTGAGGTTGAGCAGGTGAAGGGTTTGTCCAGTTCCCATGCTGCTGTGAATAGAGCTGGGACTCAGGCTCAGGCCACCTGACTTTGGGGTCCTCTAGGCAGGTCCCCGCTGTGGCCGCAGTGTGTGCAGCAGAGTGTCAGGGGGAAGGAAGGACCCCAGGTGGGGCCTCAGCCTGCAGACCTCTCTCGCCTGCTCTCTCCAAAGGCTTTGCAGGAGTCAGGGGCCATTGTGGCCATGACTGGGGACGGGGTGAACGATGCAGTCGCGCTGAAGTCTGCCGACATTGGAATCGCCATGGGGCGGACAGGGACGGATGTCAGTAAAGAGGCCGCCAACATGATCCTGGTGGACGATGACTTCTCAGCCATCATGTAAGCTCCCCATGAGGGGGTTTTCAGTTGCAAAACACCTGAGGTTACCTGCTTCCCTGTGGGATCTGCCACCGTGGTGACACAGGGGGCCCCTGCCAAGAAGGGGTCCCAAGGAATCCCCTGTAATTGCTGAATCTCAGAGCTCACGGAGGCGGAAAGTGTTACCACCCGCAGACACCAAGAGCCTCTCAAAGTAGGGTGGTGGGGCCAGTCGCACTTAGCACCCAGGGGATGTTACGGACACTTGCAGAACTTGAGTTTGTCACCTGCAGTTGTGTTTCAGGCCCCAGCCCCTCTAGGAGAGCTGGGTCAGGTCTCCAGGCAGCAGCAGTGAGTTATGTGTAAGGAAAGCCTGGAGCCCCCCCTAAGTAGCTCACGGTGAGATACAGGAGTCCTGCGTGCCAGGGAAAAGCCATGTTTTGAAAAGGATTTTGATGACACAAAGAAATACTACTGCTCATACTGTAGCATGCAGAAAAGACACACATGGGGATATTACCCCGAGCCCCGTGTGCCCCTGTGGATACGTGCAGTGGAGGGAGACTGGACCCGGCCAGAAATGCCCATATCACTCACCACGATGTGATCTCTAGGTTCTGGGATTATGGAAAAACAAAAAACATTTTTTTTCTGTTTCATTTGTCAGTATTTCCTCTTAATAAATGGACCTTTCCTCTGGATCTGATTTTAATTAGTTCTAATTAAGATTTTGCTCATTTTTTTCACAGTAATTGGAGGTAGGGGAAAAATCTTTAAGCCTGTTGTCAAAAATCTTGAACAAACACTTAAGTTCTGTGTGATCATGCCCTTCCCAGAGCAGTCTTTTCTCTACAGTGGATTAGCTATAGGAATCCTTAAAACATCTACGCCTGTCTCGGCCAGCGCCCATCGCTCAGTGGTTAGGGCTCCAGCCACATGCACTGGGGCTGGTGGGTTTGAACCCAACCCAGGCCTGCTAAACAACAACAACAAAAATAGCCAGTATTGTGGCAGGAGTCTATAGTCCCAGCTACTTGGGAGGCTTGAGCTCAAGAGTTTGAGGTGGCTGTGAGCTATGACCCCACAGCACTCTATTGAGGGCAACATAGCGAGACTTTGTCTCAACAAACACACACATACTCCTTAGTTTAAAAAAAAAAAAAGAAGTATAGTCATAACTTTACAGTTTTAGTTCTTTCGCAAAATCTTTCAGTAAAATTGTAGGGAGGCATTAGATAGGTTTTTTCCTACTACATTAGGGACCTCAGGCTGAGTTTTTATAAGGGCCTACTGAGGACACAGCAGGTGGTGCCCGCCCACCTCTCAACCTCCACTCTGTCCTGCCCCCAGATCTCATTTTCAGGTGTAATGGGTTTGCTATCTCTTCCCTGGTAAGTCACAGAGGGGCCTTAAGCATGTCAGGGATCCTCAGCAAGGGGCAGGGTTTGTGGGCTCAGGATGGGAAAGATTTAGGGTCTACCTGGAGGCGTTGAGGGTATGATTTGCACACTGACATGGCTTGGGGACCAGTCCCTGGTGGGCATCTGTTAAGACAATATTGTCTCCTACTGGTGTGTGGCCCTGGGCTCCGAGTGCAGTGTCCACCCAGGCTGGTCACCGCTGCTGAGCTGACTGTGCCCTCCCCCAAGACCCCCTCGAGTAACCACCCTCTTCTCTCACAGGAACGCAGTGGAGGAAGGCAAGGGGATTTTCTACAACATCAAAAACTTTGTCCGGTTCCAGCTGAGCACGTAAGTGGAGCCCAGTGTTTCCCAGACTTAGGTGCCAAGCGGGGCAGCTGCTGATGGCCTGTGTCTGCCCGCGCCCGCAGGAGCATCTCCGCCCTGAGCCTCATCGCCCTGTCCACCGTGTTCAACCTGCCCAGCCCCCTGAATGCCATGCAGATCCTGTGGATCAACATCATCATGGACGGGCCGCCGGCGCAGAGGTGAGCGGGGCGGCCGGGCTGCAGGGACGGACAGTGACTCTCCATGACGAGTTCCCAGAAACCTGACGTGTGCACTGGGGTGAGAGCTAGGGACTAGAACACAGAGAGGGGAGCACCTGGGAGCGAGTGGAGCTTTCTGCCCCCTCTGCCTAGTCACTGCCTCCGAGAAGTCCTCCCTGATTGCTCTAATAGCACCTCCTCCTACTCAGTCCCCTCGCCCTGCTTTATTTTTCCCTAGAGGCGAAGATGGAGATACATGTGGATACACAGACACGCACGCGTATATACATACACACTTGCATATATTAATATGTATCCTACTTATCTGGTTCTAACCTGCCTCCCCTTTACACTGTCAGCTTCGTGAGGCAGGGTTCTTGATTATTTCCCCCCTTTATTGCCAGCTTCTAAAGAGCCTGGCCACAGCAGCTGCTCAGGAAGTGACCAGCTGCAGGAGTGAGTGAGAATGGGGGTCCTAAGCCAGCCGGAGGGCACAGGGGAAAGAGTGGGCTGTGGAGTCGGAAGACCCACATTAGGTACTATTTCTGAAGTAGCCAGCTTATGGTCTCAGCTGCCTTAATCACTACAGCTGCCCAGGGAAAGCCTGTCCTTGTTTGTCCCCCCACAGCCCATTGTGAGTGCTGCAAGCTCTCCCTGGGAGTGGGATAGCCTGCGATGCTGGCCCTCAGCTGTATCCCTGCAGTGGGGGCCTCACCTGCCTGCCCTGCTATACCACCTGCCTCCCCTGCTGTTTGGAGGTTGGCTGGAGGCAGCGGCCCTCACTGACAAGGGCCCTGCGTGGGGCAGAGCCTGCATCCTGACTCTCGAGAGTCCCCTTGTGGTGATGGAATTGTCCGAATGTAAGGAACAGCTAAGCCTGGCTCCGAGACCACAGGGTGGGCGGCCTCCTTGGGTGGTTTTCCCCCGATGTGTGGGGCACAGAGGGAGAGGCCAGCATGAGTGTAGAGGAGGCATACAGCTGCCAGGACTGGGACACCCGGGCCTGTGGCATACACCCTGTCCCGGGAGGCCTCCCCGGACATGGCTTTGAGGGTCCTTTTTCCATTATGGTTCATTTCAAGGTGTCTCTCTTGTCCTGAGCAGCTTGGGGGTAGAGCCAGTTGACAAAGATGCCCTCAGGCAGCCTCCTCGGAGCGTCAAGGACACGATCCTCAGCCGTGCCCTCCTCCTGAAGGTCTTCCTGTCCGCCGCAGTCATCATCAGTGGGACCCTGTTCATCTTCTGGAAGGAGGTGAGCCTGCTGACCGCTCATGGCACAGACGCTGGGCTGGATGGTCCTGCCTCACTCCCGGGGGGCTCACGCAGGAGACCGTGGGGCTGTCTGAGTAGGGGGCAGGAAATGGATGGGACTTGAGGCTTTTCAGAAAGAAATTCGGATTTCTTTCTACAGAAGCAGGGTGCCCCCTAATACTATTATTGTCACCAGGGAACAATTCGAAACCTCCAGAACTGGCAGTTGGCCTCAGATCTTACCAGGGGTCACTTTCTTGCCCTGCGGTTCAGGGCACTCTGGGCTGAGATGTACAATGGCCTGGATGGGCATCAGGCAGGTGATCTGTCCAACTTCTTGCCTACATGCGGGAAGCAGGATGGGACGCTGGCCACCATGGCCACATTTGTTGCAAGACCCTCTTTCCTAGCCTTGCCCTGCTTTCCCTGCTCCCCCTGCCCTGAGTTCCCTGCAGTGTCACCTGTCCAGCCTATGGGGGGAGAGACAGGCCTCCCTGGTCCTGGCGGTGGCTCAGTGCCCCTGGGATAGGGTGACCAGACGTCCTGCTTTTGGCGGGACAGTCCTGATTTTTAATAATTTGTCCCACGTCCCGTGGCGTTTTTAAAAAGTCCCGATTTTTGGAAAGAATGCACACGAACAGGCAGGAGAACAGGAAGGGAATATATGGTTTCCGACTGCCATGTGGCTATTTCGCCAGAATATGAGTTTTATATTATTTTTGTTAATTTTATAATGTTAAACTGTAACATAACAAATAATTGTTGAGAAGTGATTATCGAGAACTGCTTATCAAAGTTTGCATTGTTGTCAGGCCCTGCCCTGCCCTGCCCCCGCCCCCCAGCCATGTTGTCCCGCTTTAATCAATGTTAAAATCTGGTCACCCTACCCTGGGAGCCTGTGAGAAACCAGATGCCTGGACCCCACCCAAGCCCTGCTGCCTCAAATGCTGTTTTAAGGCTCACGTCTGAACACCTCTGGTCTGGCAGCCGAACTAAGGCCAGAAGCCGAGGCCTTCTGCCCAGGCTGGAGAGCAAGGCCTCTCAGGTGGTAAGAAGCTGAAGTGAGCACTGCCCAGAAACTTCTGACAGTGAGCTGGTCTCACCTCAGCTCCGGCCATATCCTGCAATGCTGGCCCGACTGTGACCTCAGCTCAGGTCTCCAGGGGTCCAGAGCCAGGCCAGGAGAGCTCTAGGGCTGTCCCTGGGCCCAGGTTCAGGTACCTCTTAGGAGCCAGCCCTCGTTGACCTACCTACAGGAAGTGGTTATGTGATTATTCTGTTATGTGGGAGTAACTGTCGTAGCATCAGCTCCCTGGCAGCCTTCCCTCCCAGATCAGGTGGCGTTTCCATGGCTGTGCCACCTCTCTGTGCCACCGTGTCTAGGCAGCCTTGTCATCCCAGCAGCTGACAGTCCTGATGAGGGGCTGGGTCCTCGTGGCAGGCGAGTGTGCCCAGGAGACTCAGGCTGGTGTCATGCCTGCTGACAGTGAGGCTGAAGGCAGCGCCCGCAGCCTGCCCTGGGGACAGCCGGCCCTGCCTGCAGCTCTGTGGGTGGTGATGAATTGCATCCCGGGGACCTCATCTTCTGCTACAACCTCCCTCCTGTGCACTAACATTCCAGATGCCTGAGGACAAAGCGAACACCCCGCGCACCACGACCATGACATTCACGTGTTTTGTGTTGTTTGATCTCTTCAACGCCTTGACCTGCCGCTCCCAGGTGAGGCCCGGGCCCCCCACCCCGGAAGGCCCCCTCACCACAGGACCTCAGGCTCTTGGTGACAGGTGCTGAGGCTGCTCGGGGGCAGCCCGGCCCTGCTGCCTTGCCTGCGACGCAGGTTGCAGATGGGCGACGAGGCCTTCTTATCCGCAGACCAAGCTGATATTCGAGGTTGGCTTCCTCAGCAACCACATGTTCCTCTACTCCGTGCTTGGCTCCGTGCTGGGGCAGCTGGCCGTCATTTACATCCCACCCCTGCAGAAGGTCTTCCAGACTGAGAACCTGGGAGCGCTAGGTGAGTGCAGGACACCAGCCCTCGACATGGGCACAGCCTGGCTGCTTGGTGTGGCGGTGGCTGATGGGAGGGGAGCAGCTGGACAGCAGAGCGCCCTGAGGGGCCAAAGCTGTCATGGGTCCTTCTGTCCTCAAAGGAACAGACCCTTACATGGCCTTTTGCTCTGCTTCATGGGCTGGGGACATAGGAACATAAGGGAGACTTGGGGCAAGTCCCCTCCCCCAGCGTAGGGACTGGGAGAGAATTAGTAGGGATGGGAGCACCGTGGGAGGCCTGGGCCCAGCAGTGTGACTCAGACAGCTGCTCCCCTGAAGACAGAGAGCTGGGTTTTCTCTAATTCTTGCTGAAAGGGACGTGATTTAGTGACTGTGGCTTTCCAAGGGCCCTGAGTACATAAGCCCTGGGCAGAAACCTGGGGACCCCATACCTCTCACCCCAGTGCGGTGAGGCCTTCCTCTGAACCCCGTTTCAGCAGGAGAGGGGCCAAGGGGACAGTTGTAAGGAGGAGGCTCCCCCCTCCCTTCTGGCCCAGGCTTGCTGCTGGCTACCCCTACTAGGGGACAGAAGACAGGGGGCTGGTGCGGCAGCCCCATAGGCCCATCAGAGGGACAGTTGTAAGGAGGAGGCTCCCCCCTCCCTTCTGGCCCAGGCTTGCTGCTGGGGGACAGAGGACAGGGGGGCTGGTGCAGCAGCCCCATAGGCCCATCAGAGCCTGGGGTGGAACATGGCTCCAGCCCAGCTCAGGGTGATCAGTCAGGACGGGGGCCGTAGAGACACCTCAGGTAAGACTCTTCCCTATCACCTGAAAAGCACTGCCAGCTTGGGTCACTACTCAGTTGCCTGCTCAGTTCCCTGCAGGAGCAGACAAATGAAAGGGAGCCCCCAAAATAAGATCTGACAGATGTTTCCGTCCACTGGGAAGAGAGGCAGCTTAGCAAACATGAAGTGACTGCTGGGCAGCCAGCGTGTTGACAGCCGGGGCCAGAGACGGGTGTGTTGGGCAGGACACAGCAGAGGCAGAGGGAGGCTTAGGAATTAATGGAAAGGAACGAGGCAGGTTACTAGATGGGAGCCTGGCCTGGGCCTTGGGGCGTTGCATTTGCAAGAAGCAGTGACTTGGGACCCCCTCCCTGGGGGGGCTGTGACACTGCCCTCTCGTGACACTGCCCTCCCGTGACACTGCCCTCCCATGACAACTCCCGCCTTCCCCTGCTCTGTGGGTTGGAGCCCCAGACCAACTCTCAGCCTGACGAGACCACGTGGCAGTGGGGCAGGGCCAGGCCCGGAGCGGTGTGGTGTGTACACTGACCATTTGCTCCCTTCCCCTTTTGGCAGATCTGCTGTCTTTAACCGGATTGGCTTCGTCTGTCTTCATTTTCTCAGAGCTCCTCAAACTTTTTGAGAAATACTGCCCGAGAGCCAGGGAAGTACAGACGTACCACGAAGACATGTAGTGGCCCTCGTTCCCGGCACGTCCGCCAGAGCCTCTATTTTTATGTGACTCTGGCTCTTCCCCTAGTCTTTCTGCCATGCAGACTCTTCCGAGGGAGATTTTGGGGACACTATAGTAGTAGGTCACTCACTCGGTTCTCCCCCTAGCGACCTGCAAGAGCCTCAGGATGGTCCTCGGGAGGCCCCGGCTCTGGGACACCAGAGAGCAGCCTGCACAGAAACATCACACTATTTATTAAATCAGTGATTTTTATGATAGCGCCGGTGTCTTTGAGCCGTGGCGTATAGCCTGCTCCTGCCAGCACACAGGGCCTTACAGAGGCCAGCCGCAGGACTGCTGCACGTTTTCCTCCCTGAGGCCCCATTTCCTCATTGTAAATGAGCGTTTGGAGTATTTTTGTAAAGTGCTGTCCCAGGGGTCTAATCGAGGTCAGGGTGGATTTACTGTTTTTCCTGCAAATGGCCAGTTGGAAGCCTGCAGCTGTGAGTCGGTTTTCACTTAAGCTGGTGAAACCCGGGCCACGTCAGGAAGAGAAAGTTCAGAGGGGACGTCTGCAGCTCCCAGGCAGATTCCAGAGTCCTCCAAGGTGGGCTCCACAGCCTGGAAGCTCTTGCCACAGCGGGGAAGCTCTTCTCCCCTGCCCCACCTATGACACCAGGCTAAAGGAGGAGATCCCAGATGTGCCATCGGGCAAGCAACATTCCCAGGGGTGGCTAGAGAAGAAACCTTTAGAGCAGGGGTGGTATCTCCCCAGAACTAAGAGGTCAACGCTGAACCATGTTCCATAAATAGACTTACCAGGTGTTTCCCTGCGTGGGGGGTACTTCTTGAGCCTTGGGGGGATCCTTTGGCAAGCTGCTGCTCCAAGATATAGGTTTGCCATTAAAAAATAAGTAAATATGCCAGGCTCAGTGGCTCACACCTATAATCTCAACAACTCAGGAGACCAAGGTGGGAGGATTGTTTGAGACCAACCTGGGCAACATAGCAAGACCCTAAGTCTCTACACATTTTTAATTAGCCAGGCATGGCAGCGCGTGCCTGAATCAGGAGGGGGCAGTGAGCTGTGATGGTGCCACTGCATTTCCAGCTGGGCAACACAGCAAAACCCTGTCTCTTTAACTAAAAGGAACCAGGGTCTATTGATACTGGCAATAACAACAACAAAAGATATTTGTACCCCTTACATATGTCATATGAAATAAGATCGATAAAACAAAGCTTTTGGAAGAAAAGGGATAAATTTTACTGGACAAAACAAAACTCCAATAAAGTATAATGGATAATTGGACCACACTAAAATGAAGACTTTCTTTCATCAAGGATATAGTAGACTTCAACACCACCAGCAAGCAACTTAGCTTGATGTACATTTATAAAACATTTCGTTAACAGTAGATAGACATTCACCAAAATAAAACTAGAGACCAGAAATCAAACTCAAGAACAGAAGAATCACTCTAAAGCTAGTTCTCTGAAAAGACCGATAAAAACTATCAGTCTTGCTACCGACTTATCAAAGAAAAAAAGAGATAAATTGCCAGGGTCAGATCCCTCAAGAAATTACAATAATGAAGGACTAATACCTCGAACATCTCTAGGCACCTAAATTGAAGATGTTAATAAATAAAACTACCAGAACTCAATGGAGATAAATAATAGTATTGTACTGACAACATTCATTTTCTGCTTTTGACAATTGCACTCCACAGCTCTGTCAAACGTGTCTCCTGGGGGAAGTTGGGCGATGGGTATGCAGGAACTCCTACACAGTTTTTTATGTGAATCTAAAATTATTTCAAAATAATATTTATAAGAAAAAAACCGATACTGGTAACAATTGAACAAAAATATGCCAGGCAAATGCAAACATCACATACAAAGTGGGCTAGACACTGTGAATGTCAGAGAGGATTAAAATCAAGGCCAAAAGCATTAAGTCAGACAAAGAAGGGTATTTAACAAAGACAGAATCATCACTGAAAATCTGGTAGGCCAGAGTATATACCAACACAACATCAAAATTAAAAGAGCAAACAGTATGAAAAAGTTAGAGAAGGCACACAGAAAATTCATTTAGGAGACTAACAGGCCACATGTCAGAACATAAAACCTCAACATGATCCCCCAAAGTAGATACAGATGAATTCTCTAATCAATATACAATAAAAGTAAAAAATTCCCCACCATACTAAAATTTAAACGCTCTTGGGTCCAAGAGAAAAATCACAATAAAAAACTGCTAAAATCTAGAAGCTAATCGTGCACACACACCTCTCAGAATCTGTGTTGCTACAAGATAAAACAGACCCCAAAGAGGAAAAAAGGAATAGCTTCATATATTTACTGACTTTCACTTTTTAGTAACTTAACAACTCAAAAAAATTAGAGAAAACATATGCCAGAGGAAATATAAAAGCAAAATTAATTTTAAAACATCCTTGGGAGAGGGCAGCGCCTGCAGCTCAAAGGAGTAAGGCGCTGGCCCCATCTGCCAGAGGTGGCGGGTTCAAACCCAGCCCCGACCAAAAACTGCAAAAAAAGAAAAAAAAACATACTTAGGAGACCCCAATCTGGGAAAACGAAAAGGAAACAAAAGAAAGGGGAAATGGACAACTACAAAAGATTACAGATACATTGTCGGTATTACGGAAATCAGTGTGAGACAGAGAAAGTGGAAAATTTACTAAGGACTATAAAAATGATCAGTGCTAATCCCAGAATATTTATTAAAACAACCCAGATGGTAAAAGAAGCTGATAAGGTTATCGAGAGTGAACACCATCCTTGACTACCAAACCAAAAAGCACCAGAAGAATTTTACCTAAACTTTAAAGAACTCCTTCCCTCTGCATTTTCTGGAAACCAGCAAAAGGTTCTAAATTATTTTTGTAAGGCCAGTACAATTTTAAAAGTAAAGCACAGACAGCACCAGTAGCACAGTGAGTGGATAGGGCGCCGGCCACATATACCCAGGCTGATGGGTTAGAACCCAGCCTGGGCCAGCTAAACAGCAATGACAACTGCAACAAAAAAATAGTGGGGTGCTGTGGCAGGTGCCTAGAGTCCCAGCTACTTGGGAGGCTGAGGTAAGAGAATCGCTTAAGCCCAAGAGTTTGAGGTTGCTGTGAGCTGTGACGGTACAGCACTCTACTGAGGGTGACATAGTGAGACTCTGTCTCAAAAAAATAATAATAAAATAAAACTAAAGCACGATTTACATAAAATGCAATTCCAGGCCAAATCGCTTAAACACATTGCTACAGAAGTACTACACAAGGACAAACCAAACTAAACCAACACATTAGAAGAGTGAGAGTTAAAATACAAAGATGGCTTAGCGTTTGGAAACCTATTCATTTCATATTCCTTACTAACAAATGAACAAGAAAACCATGGCTGCTAAGAAACACTAAGTCTAGTTTCACAAAAGAACAAACTCTTCATTCGTTAAAACCAACGTTGGAAGTTTCTCAGACCCAGCTAACACGCTGTCTGTCTGCTGAGAGGCAGAATCTCACCCCCAGGGCAGTGCACAGGTGCCAAACACCCAGCAGGTGCCCTTGATTCCCCTGTGACGGTCCTCTCAGGAAGCAGATCCCCCTTTGTGATCTGAACTCTTCATTAGAACAAGCTCAAGGTAAGAGGCGAGCTGTCTATCAGTAGACAAATCATAACCCTCCTGACAGCCAGAAGGCAGAGGCACCAGCAAGCGTTATTCAAGGCACAGACTCCCACCTTTTATTAGTGAGGTATCTAATTGCATTTTTACCAAAAAAATCTAAAAACAAAGTGACAGTAGGGACCTAATTCTTTGGATTCATGAGGAGATATTTGAAGATCTTAATATTCTGAATCTGCTAAGCTGTCAATTAAGATCATATAATGTTCCCAACAAGCCATTAAAAGCTGGCTTTTTATAGGGAATACCAATCATGACTATGCCTGTCTGTGGCGCGCCTCTGAGCATGCGCCTTCTTTAGGAAGCCAATACACAAGGCTTAGTCGGGGGTATTGCTAAGTGGAAGTTTTGATGAGCTTCCCTGCAAAATGCAAACAGCTCAATTTACTATGGCTTATAATCAAGGCAAACTACGGAAGAGGCTGCATTTTCAGCCGATCTGCAAAAGGTCAAAGGTAACAGCAAAAGACTAAAGGAAGAGAAATACCTCTTACAGAAGAGCTCACAGTTCCTTTAAGTAGTGGCAGCATTGACGGCCTCAGAGCACGCAGTTTTCCAGACCTGTGTCTGATGGGACATCCCACCCACCTATGTAATGTTGAGCACTTCAGGATAACTGGAGTTTATTTACTGTGAGTCTGCACCATTGAATTGCCCATCATTCCCTTCGGGAGCAGCCCTGGGCAAACAGCAATACTGAGGGCTATGACTCCGGCCCAGAGGTCTAGAAGCCAGGCCAGCACTGGGACATCACTTACTACTGACTGACAGGATGGGCCATATATATGCATATCAACCAAGCTCCCAGATTTAACAGAAGCCAAACTTTGCTTCTCCCAAATGCCCCATTTGCTCATGACACAGAATCATTTAAACACAGCTGAGAGAGCCAGATGGGGACCCTTAGTTGCAGGCACCTCCTGTGCCACCATGAGACCGTGTTATCATCAAAGTCTTTAGCCTTCATTTCTACCTTCTCATTGATAGAAAATGAACAAAGGGTAAGGTTAAGTCACTCACTTGACACGTAATGATTTGTGGGAGAAACACCGCCCATCAGTCCAGGGCATCGGAGGGATTTTTCTTGCTTCTGGTTCTGATTGAGCACGTCCAGGACCACCTGGCTATGGCCCGTGTACTCTAGTAAAGTTAAGCCAATGAGGAAGGGGATGGGCCACGGACGGGCCTTCTACTCCGCTGAATCCCAGCCCTGGCTCCTGCTCAGTCATTCTCCTCCGGGGCCTCCCGGAGCCCTTCGCTGTGGCGGGTCCTCCCAGTGATCTCCAGCAGGGCCTGGGCCTCAGGGTCCACGTCAAGGATGCTCTTATTGCTCTTGGCCTGGGGAAAAGGAAGAGGGTGGGTGTGTTCAGTGACAAGCACAGAGAGGAGGGCTCCCAGGTAACCAAGAGCAAGCAGTGACATCCCCTATCCCCTGATGGAGTGGAAGCAGGACTCCACTGTCACCACTGGGATAATGGGCACAGTCCCCTGCCTGTGGCCTCCCACCCTGGGATTCAATGGTCAAGAGGACGTGTGGAAGGTGTTATGAGAGGTACCAGGGGCCCAGCAATGACTCAGCTGCAGCACCAGGGAATTAGATGGGGTGCCAGACCCCACCTTGTCTTGCAGACAGGCAGAGGGAACACAGGGCCACCCAGCTTGCCAGGGGCACACAGAGGGCAGGTCCATAATCCCCAGGGCTACTCTATTAAACCATCCATGAATCCCTGGCAGAACTTGGAGCTATGTGGATACCAGCACCCAAACGGCCAGCAAGGCCCCTGCCTGGATGCAGAGGATGCCTCCACTCACCAGCTCCGCCTCCGAGGGGTCCCCGACCGCCCACACCTCCATCCTATCAAAGCAGAAGTGCTCCTTGGCAGACAGCTGCGGGCTGTTGTATGTGGTGCACGTGGGCTTGGCTTTGCTGTGTCCTTTCCCAAAGTCGACATCCACCCAAAGGCCAAAGTAATTGTGCTGCCCGCCCATGCCCTGCAGAGGAGGTCACACAGAGAGTGGTGTCAGCGGCTCCTCCTGGCCCCAAAGCACCAAACGCCACCGGCCTGCGCCTTCCAAGAGTACCCGCCGGGATGTGGCAGAGTGGGGACTGAGACCTTGCTTTTCTCAGCTGAGATACACAGACCACTGCAGGCCAAGCATCACTCTGCATGTCACCAGGGCAGTGACTCCAGAAACCCACCCTCGTTCCTTCTCCAGAGGCTGTGCTGGCCGGAAGCCCACGCACAGGACAGCAGAGAACAGAAAATATGGACGTGGGCCCTGGGCCAGAGCCCAGCACATGAAAGGGAGAGGCTAACATTGGCAAGCCACCGTGTCAGGTGTCAGGGCCCTTGTCCTCCCACCCACGTCCAGGCCGGGATCCTCATCCTGACACAGGCTAGAAAATGGAGCTTTGAGTGGGGAAGTGACTTACTCAGGCTGAGGCAGACCCCAAGGGATTCAAGCCCTCTCCCGTTCCTGCCATCCCCATCCCACTGCTGGTCCTGAGCAGGCACGGCTGGCAAGAACAGAGCAGGTTTCCAGCCTGGCCTCCCTGACGCCACCTCTCTGGTCCCTCTCTAGGCCTGGAGCACCTGGTTCTGACCTCGGGCAGGAACACAGTCCCTCATCAGCTCATGGAGCTGCTCCGTCTCTCACACTAATTACTGATGATTACTGGGGACCCAGTGGGAGCCAAAGCTTTCGCTCCTGGCATTACCCAACTGCCCTCTCTGGGAGGGGCTAGGTGTCCTCAGGGGGCCTGGCCATGTCCTTCCTTCTCTGTGGCTGCAGTGTGGCACACCTGGAGAGGAACTGGGCACCTCTAGTTGATCAAGGGGTCCAGCCTTTCCCATCCTCTGCTCTGCATGCACAGGGCTGGAGTTCCCCAAAAGGAGAGTTTTGTCAAAAAGCAGACAAAATAAACAGGGGATGGTGGTGGGGGGGGGGAGGAGCTGCAGGAGCAAGCCAAGCATCCACGTGGGTCCCATCCTAGCTGGTGCCCTCGGTCCTGTGCCCACCAGCCCTGTCTGCCCGGCCTGGGCTTTTCCCCTTCTTCATCCTTTTCCTGTGGCCAAATCACCAAGCTGGAGCAAGGACCAGATAGAAGCCACAGTCACCTCAACGTGAACCCCATGTGCTGTTTGATGAATTACCCACTAACCATTCCCCAGGTCTAAGTGATCCCAGCCCTGGGCCATCCTTACCCAGCATCCCCAGGCATGAGGCAGGGCAGCTATGCCCAGTGACAGGGCAGTCCCTGATGTTACCTCAAACCACACAGATCACACGCCGACCGTGTGAGAGTGAAGAAAATGGGCCACAGGGGCCGTGTGCACACAAACCACACAACAGCCCCAGCAGAGGCCTCGTCCTTCCCGAAGGGAAGTCCCGCCTAGCTGCCCCTGCTCCCAGCCAGGGACCGAGGACAGAATGAA